ACAGCGGGTGGAAACACTGCTGGATCCGGCACCATCCTCGACTGCTCTCATGTGTGAGCCCGGGGCACAGCCCCAGGGTCCATCCATCTTGTCCAGGGCGTTCCTCTTTGACATGGCCACTCTGCTTTCCCAATCATGATTTCCTTCTCCAGGGACTCTCTCCGCTTGTCAGAAATGGCAATTCCCCTGCCTTAGGGGCTCAGGAAGTGCTTTTGCACCAGCCCTTCCTTGACGCCTCTCTTATTCGGTAGCCTACATCCCTAAGTTCACAACCTGACCACTTCTCACCACTCGGGCCCATCATGGCCCCAGAGAACAGAGTGGACCTGCACCGTGGGGGTCCAAGGCTGTCAGCTGAGGGCGCAGCCTGCCCCAGCTGTTAGGCTTCCACTGCCATCTCTTCAGTTAGCAGGCCAGTACTTAAACCCTGCACCACCGATGCTCCTGCCTCTGCTAGAGCACTCATCAGTTGGTGCTTGCCACCTCTGCTGGCCTATTCCGCTTCCTCACGAGGTGGTGCGTGCAGGGACGCTGACTGCACTTACCGCGGAGACGACAGAATCGCATGCCTGGTGAGGTGGAAGAGCAACACGAAAGAGGAGACACACACACACATCCCCAACGAGATGGCCTGGCTCAATGGCTGCAACAGTGGGCTCAAACACAAAACCAGCCATGAGGCTGGGGCGGTGCTTCGTTCTGTGGGGCACGGGGTCCCCATGAGCCAGAGCTGACGCCAAGGCGCCTCACAACCACACACTCCAACCGAACTCACTGCCATCCAGTAGACTGGCAGCCATCGCATAGGGCAGGGTAGAACTGTCCTGGTGGGCTTTTGAGACTGAACCTCTTCACAGGGGTGGAAAACCTCATCTCTCTCCCATGGAGCCACCAGTGGCTTCAGACTTCTCAGTAGCCTACGGCATAATCATCCCACCCGCAGGGCTCCTGGCCACATACTAGGTGCCCTGTGATACATACTTTCGTGAAAGAAAGGACAGGTTGGGGGGTGGGAGGGGGAAGGAAAGGGAGACACACCCCACTGGGCTGTGGACTTCTTCAGGGCGGGTCAAGAATCACCTGAACTCTCAGTGTGTTGTCCACAGTGGCTGGCAAGGCAGGCCCTTAACCCAAGTGTTGACAGCTTTTTCAATATTCCCCATCTTGTTCAAATCTTCTGGAAGCAATGCTTTCTAGCACGAAGAAACAAGTCCCCAGCCCTAATGTTCATCAGCAGATGAATGGGTCAACAAAGTGTGGTACATACATACAGTATGAATACATGTCTATATGGATGGGTCAGCCACAAAACGAAATGTAGTTCTGCTATATGCTACCACATGCATGAAGCATAACAACATGATGTGAAGTGAAATCAGCCGGTCACTAACTGACAAACAGTACATTCCACCTACATCAAATGTCTCAAAAACACTCACCACCATCTTATCTGGCGTCAGACTCACAGCGACCCAGCAGGAGAGGGTAGCACTGCCTCTGTGTGTTTCCGAGACTGTAAAGCTTTATGAGAGCAGAAAGCCTCCTCTTTCTGCCACAGATAGCTAGTGGCTTTGAACTGCTGACCTTGCGATTAGCCACCCAACGCTTAACTACTGCGCCACCAATACTCCTCTAGGAGATATCTAGCCCAGGCAAATTCCAAGACCCAGCCAGATTACAGGCTAGCCGGGAGCTGGGAGAAGGCATGTCATTGAGTGATTGCCCAATGGGTGTCCTTTCAAGGATTAAAAAGAAAAACATTTTGGAACTAGGGAGTGGTGATGTCTTGCACAACGCTGTGACTACACCGTAGTTCATGTCACCGTTCCTGAGCTATGCTCGTAAAGATGGTGGCCGTGGCTGTTTTTATGTCGTATATTTTGCCAGAGTTGGGAGCGAAAGCCGGCGCACGCCGAGGGCACCGGATCCCTCGCCGGCCCACGGGCACCCTCCCGACGCGGCTCACCGTCTCCGGGTTTCCAGGCGCGCAGCGATGCGGAGGCGCCGGGCCTGGATCCGCTCCTGAGAGTTTTCAGAATGTACCGAGGGCCCGAGAATCGGGGTTGACAGGTGTTCCTCCTCCGTCTCCTCCAGGATCCCAAGGGGGCCTGTCGGATTCATGGCTGCAGCCTCCGGCCTTTCGGACAGCTCCGCTCCAAACACCACCGCGCAGCCACCGCGGCGTTGCTAGGAACAAACCGTTGCCAGGGAAGATCCGTCCGGTGGGCGGCTGCTGGACCGGTTGCGCGCGCAGCTCTCCAGGCCCCGCCCACCCCTCGCTGCGAAGT